CTTTTTTTTTTTTGGATAAAATGTGAAAATTATATTTATCCATGAAACTATTTGTATAAGAAGTTCAGCAGCAACTTGTTGCTACTACAAAACAAAATACTCAGCTCTATACAATAATCTCAAAAACCTCATTTTAAAGCAATTGATGCACTTAAAATAGAGGAAAAAGGCCCAGCATTTTCCAAAATTTTGTGTCTCACGTCAAAACAAATCTCTTCACACACTACATCTATTGTCTTGTAGATATGTTGGCGGATTCTCTTGTTCCTTTCCATCCAAACATGGTAGACTGCAGCATTCCAGATTAACTTGATGAGTGTTTGATACAAAGACTTTCTTCTTATTCATTTCCCCATCCATAACACAAGCTGTTGCCAAGAATCCAGATAAGGAATTTCAGACATGGCACTCAAACTCTTCCACATACATTTTGCACAGCTACACTTAAAGAAGAGGTGCTCAACAGTTTCTGATCCATCGTTGCATAGGACACAAGTGTCATCTATGTTAGGGGACCATTTCTTCTACCTTGCCTTGGTTGTTAACCTATCCAATATGGCTAGCCAACTAATAAAGCTATGTTTTGGTATTTGCCAAGAAAACCAAACCAGCCTATGCCAAGGAACCTTGGACTGCTTACTTCTGATCCAGTGCCATGTTCTCCCTGCAGTGTTTGTCCTTGAAGCTGAAGGGATCCATATAACAGTATCCTTGTCCCTTTCCTTAGGATATAGTTTGTCACATAAAGCAATTTGAATGTCTAGCAATTGAGGTGAGCGAGCTGGTGGCCATTTCCAAAAATTACCATTAACCACTACCTCCAGCTTGGCTTGGGAAGAAAACCCAGAATCTTGGACAATTCGTGCACCAAAATTTTCAACTAGAGGCCCTGAAGGGTGCTAGTTATCATGCTACAAATATATGTCCTTTCCATCACCTGGAATGTGTTTAATAAGTTTCCTAGCTTGTTGTCTAAGATTGAGGAGTTTCCTCCAACCCCATGATGCATCAGAAGGAACTCTTATAGACCAGAAACTACAACCCTTCAATAGATATTCATGGACCCATGCCACCCAAATAGATCTAGCTTTTGTAAAGAGCATCCAAATAAATCTCATAATACATGCTACATTCCAATGCGTCAGACTCCTCAAACCCAGACCACCTTCCTGCTTAGGGTGACACAATGACAGCCAATTCACTTTAGCCCCTCTTGCAAACTCAGTTGAGCTTTGGCATAAAAATGTAACACATAACCTTTCAACCTCCTTTATAACCTTGTTTGGTAATATGAAGGTAGAACACCAAAAAGTCGTTATTCCCTGGATGACAAAAGAATAAGCTGTAGTCTACCAGCAAAAGACAAATGCTTAAAGGCCCAAGAGCTCATTCTTTCTGTTATCTTTGAAACCAGAGGCTTTAAGTCCTTCTCTGTCAATTTTCCTGTGATTAATGGCACTCCAAGGTACCTTATTGGGAGGACACCAGCCTTGAACCCATAAGCTGCTGTTAATTTCTTAATTTCCTCACTAGATATGCCACAGCAAAAAATCTCATATTTGGAATAATTAACCTTCAAACCAGATAACTGATAAAACTGAGTGAGAACATTGTTAATAGCACTTAAAAAGGAAGATGCACCATCTGTAAAAATGATTAGATCATCAGCAAAGCATAAGTGTGTAAGCTGCACTTTGGCACATTTGGGATGGTACACAATCTTTCCTTCTATGGCAGCTTTGTTTAGCAAATGAGAGAGTATCTCCATACAAATCACAAATATATAAGGTGATAAAGGGTCACCCTGCCTCACCCCCTTTTTCCCTGGAAAATATCCTGCTAAGTGTCCATTAAACACTACAGAGAACATTGGTGTTGTAATGCAGGCTCTTATCCAATCAACAAATTTTATAGGAAAATCAAGAGCTAAGAAGACTTGAAAAACAAAATCCCAGCAGACTGAATCAAATGCCTTCATAAGATCAATTTTGAGTGCACATTTGGGGTTAAAACCATTACTGTGATAATGCATTTTTACATTAACAAGACCCAAAACTAAAGGGCCTTATATATTTAT